GGATGTTGTAGTTGCCGTACTGGTGGTCAGTGGGCTCTTGCCCTGATACTCCAAGCCTGCACACATATTCGCCACATGAGTCACATGAGGCCAACAAACTGCATCCTGTCCATGTCCGGCCTACCGAAGTCGGTGAGTCCCCGTAGTTGTTCCTGGAATTGACACCAAAATCAAGTCGGCCATGAGCTTTTGGGCCTCTTGGTTGACTACACCGCTACCGGGCAACTTTATTCGGTGCTGGCGCTCAGGACGCGGATTGTTCGTCTCTAGGCGTGAGCCGCCCCCCCCCCCACCTGCGCTCTATGCTTTTTCATCAAGCTGCACATAATGTCGAACAGTGCAACATTCGCACGTCTCGTTCCGGTTTGATGCTTCAGTCTCGTCCCTCTTGAAGCCTGCATCGTCTGACTTCTTCCTCGATTTCTACTGACGACTGCGTTCTGTGCAACCCTGCGGCTGGTGCTTTTCAGCGTTTTCAGCTTACAGCTCTCAGCATCACATTCATCATATGGAAACGACGGCGTGTCGAATACTCTTGGATGTGCCTTTTCGTCTAAGTTGCTCTGCACCAGGTTCTCTATTCTGTCGCCTCGTCCCGAGAGCGTTACGAAGGTCATCCTGGCTGTACAGCGCTTGCATCAGTTGGACGTGCTACATATTTGCGCAAGCACGGCAAGTTGTCAACGGTTGGTAAGATGTGCAGGTACGAGATTCCTTGCCGGATGTGTTTGCAGCTCAATAGCTGCTTGTGCTGCAAAGTAGCAGGCTCTGCATGCTTCACACGGCTTGCGAGAATGAGGATACTTTACTCCCCACGAAAAGTCTTCCAGCTGGCTTGACGGCTACTTCTCTTCCTTTGTCCTGCGGCCGTTTCAATACAGAGAAAAGCGCTGTGGCGTTCCTTTCAATACGGTGTGCAGCATTTCCCGCCTCTGATCTGGAACACTGAAAGGTGGAGTGATGTGTAGGAATGATGTAAGGAGAGTCCGTCACCCGATCACCTTCGCCAAGATTCGAAGCGTAAACCAAAACGTGGTTGCGGTAGCCTGTCCAATGCTCGGTGCTTGCACTGTGCCAGACTGTGTCACGGCCGATGCCGATCTGTGCCTATCATGGTGCTGGCCACCGATGCAGAAGAACTCTCGCGAGAGACCGTGTTGACCAGCAGCTGGTTTGTGCCGCTTAGATCCTGGAGCAGCGGTAAGCCCGGCTGGAGAAAGACTTCATGATCTCTTGGGAATCTGTTGTAAACATGAGGCAAAGGTGGCAAAGGCTTGCTGGGCATCAATGATCCTGCCTCTGCCAAAAACACCTTGTAGTGAGACACCTCACAGCTTTCAGAGCTCACATGTCGAAGGCTTCACGGCCCGTGCACGAGCTTCCAAGCTCGGTGCCGATGCTTGATCTGCTGTCAAGCTGTCTTGGGTCCACGACACTGTGCCGCTGGCATACTCCCAACTAGGATCCTCACAAACCGCATGCAACGATGCATGGACAGGCTGCCACCTGCACCCGTGGTCAGTCCTCGTCAGGAAAGCTAAGTGCCTCGTGCGAGAATATGAGATGTGGCGATGCATGTCATCCCGAAAGTCCCAGAGTGACATGGCTTCCGCGCAACTTGCGGACATGCGTCTGTGATGAAAGGAGCAACAACAGGTGCTGCACCGCTGTCGTCGTAAAGGGCTGTTGCCTGGAGAGCTACAAGCAGGTGATGCCAGCTCTGAGTTTGGCCGCACATGACTCGAAGTAAGATGGCAACGCAGCCGACTGCAGGGTTCTGGTAGGCCTCTGGTGGACATCACATTCCAATTCCGCCATTTTGTGCTCCATGCACACAACTCGCGATGGTTCAGGCTAAATGGATCGTACGCACACATGCAGAGTCATGAGGTTCAGCCATGGCTTGGCTTTGCAGGGAATTTCACAGGCAGGTCAGAGACAAAGGTCGGAAAGCTTGCAGCTGTTGGTTTTCGGGGCACAGCTGCGGGCGTAGACTGCGAGCTTCAATGGGCAACAGCGGACAACATGAATGTCTAGCAGAGGTCCCGTGTGGCTCTGAGTTGCTGGCCCCCAGATCAGTTCGGTACCTCAAGGCATGTCGAACGCGAAGGCAGCGGGGGTTTATGGACGTCAATAAATGCTTGGCGCACCCCAGGACGACGATGAAGTTGGCCGGCGAAGCATCTGTCGTTTGCCTGATGAACAGGGGCCAAACCAAAGAGTCCTGTCTTGCTTGCTTGCAGTGTTTTAGGTTGGTCCATATCTGTCTTTCTCACTTTTATCATGGAACAGACCTGGCCGACCGCCCCAGTCGCGCGGACGCGCGCCTACAGCCCTTAGCTGGTCCGCCCGCGGGCAGTTTTGCGGCCCGGGAGATTGGCTGCACAGCCTACTCTCGGATCTATTCTCTCGCTCCCTGTCTTGCTTGCTTGTAAAGCATCTTGGCCCGGGTCATCCCCGAACCCTGCACTGGGGACGGAACAGGACTGCGGCCAATTCACCGTGACAGTTATGAGCAGGTCTAAGTCCTCTAGACTCTATATCCTCATGGCACCGAAGCACAGGCCAAAGCAGAAACAGCTATTACGATCACCCCAAGCCATGGATCATGAGGCAAAACCGACATCACCACAACAGCAGCATAGAATTTCACAACTGGCAAATCGAATTCATGGACTAAAGAACTGACCACAGCTTTGTAACTGGTGGTGGGTACTGGGCTCTCACCGGTCACAACTTTGGATGTCCTCCTTAAGTTGAAGGAAAACAAGCTGACGATACTGGCTCATCAGACATCCAACATGTTGCGATCAAGGCTTCTAAAAAAATTGCAGAGGAATCGTCCCCTCAAGCATCATCTGTCTACCTCTTTTGATGCAGCCAGGGCTGGAATAACAGCAGGCTTCAAGGCTTCATTGCAACAAACGTGCTCCAAATGACAGTCAGGTCTCAGACTAAAGCAGCACCCGCTACTGCGATGGCGAAATCTCGTCTTGCAAGAAAGGAATCTCCCTCCCTTGCCCCCTGCCCCTCCACTAGCAGACCCGTGCCATTAGGCACCCCCCACCCTCTTCTTTGGACTATGAGGGTAAAGGATGGTAAAGGCGTTTGGGGTCAGTGGGGATTGTTTCCCCCATCGGTTGGAAAGTGCGGTAGAGTCGGTGTTGTCGTGGGGCCCAACCGTGACCCTGTAATTCGTGGCACCAGACTGTCCCAGTTGGCCATTCCATTTCCAGACGTTGCGGGTTTCCCACCATGGTCATTGTGAGGATTAGCCGCTTTGTCTTCCCGGCCAGCTCGGCGCGTTGGTGCCTTTCCGG